GAATATCTCGAAACAAGGGAAGTAGATCGTCAAGTTGTAACCTTTCTCCGGTAGATTTGAAACGAGCATCTTTCTGTGATTAAACTCCATTTTCGGAGCACACAGAAACAGAGCAAGAACAGAGGACTTTACTTTTCAGACACAACTCGAAGTTACTGGTCTTTAAAGAAATAGGGAGTTGGGTACGTTAATGAATAAAGACCCATGGATACGTTAGAATCTAGAGAGTCATGACACCAAAAATTCCAAGGGCGTGTTCGACGGGAAGAAATAAGTGGCTCGTTGTTAATGAATAAAGACCCAGAAATGGGGACACAAGTCACAATCTACAAGACTCAAAACGGGTATAGAGTTTGTCCTTTTTAGGGTTTCGAAAGTGGGTGGAAATTTCGTGGAAGTGATAACGCCATTAAAGCAATGTATCTGTAGACTTTTAGTAAACTCTCTGTAAAAATTTACGCGTAATCAGAGTGATGCAAGTCGTCCAAGTTTTAGTCTTTAGTAACAAAAATCGTCATCCGGTTTATGATCGGTTTAGAGTTGGTTAAAGAAGGTATAATACCGAATACTATGTCATCATATATATATGAACCACACCATATGTTACAGAATATTATTATACATGGACCTACTTAGACAAATTTGTACACTGAAGAGGTCTGGTTTCAAATCATGGGGATACCAAGCTCGTTGGCAATGCCGATTCCGCCATGAATTGTTCTTAAATGTTCATAACAAGGTTCTGACTGAGTGTAGAAGTCTAAGCAGACCCAGCAAATGTGCTTCCCACACCGGCACTGCACATGGTTACACCCTTCAGATTTCTCTATCGTGGACCTGCAAGCCGGACACGTCTTCACGTCCTTCCCTTTTGCCCAGTCCCTTAGCGACAAGTCTGGATTCTCCTTGAACTGTTTATACCTTTCACAAGAGAGATACGGGTGGTACTCGAGGTGACACCTTGTGCATGTCTCTGAGTTGCAGGCTCCACAGACGAATGGCTCACCGGATTCTTGAGGACCAGCTACACGGTAGATGGAAGGGCAATCAGGTGTGGAGCAAAACCGGAACTTTCCATCACTGGATGTTACAAAAGAGGACAATGATGCTCGGAAGAGTTCATCCAGCTTCTCTTGTGATAAGAGAGCTCTCATATCAGCGAGTACTATCGGAGCTTCACAGTCACTGTGAGAACAAAGTATGGGGAATGCGTCAAAGTTTCTCATCGATGCCTCGAATTGTTCTAACAAACAAGCTTTGCAGAAGAGGTGTGAACATCCTTCAAGAGAATAGCCATCATCAACCTCAGACAAGCAAATGGGACATTCAACTTCAATGTCACCTTGTTCTTCGCCCGGTGCACTCTCTTCTCGTGCAAGTTCATTGACCATCTTTTCTACTTCCTGCCTCATTTCTCTGCTCCCATGAACCTGAATAACATGGTGCCGGGTGTTGAGCTTAAGATCCACACCATGTACCTTCTCTTTGATACCTTGGAGCTCCGGACCAAATCTCTTCACAACTTCCTTCATTAGGTCAGGACGTATATCAGGACCTCGGAGGTGGATTTCAAGTTGCTTGTTCTCGTGATAAGCCAGAAGTGACTGAACCAGTTCTTGTTCAGCCTCGGTGATTTTCTGTCCTGATCCACAAATGCGTACCGTGAGACTATGCCTGTCTAATATAATGTAAGTTTCAGTCTCCTGTTGGATCTTCCGCATAAGATTAACACCATCTCTGGAAGAAAGATGCTGCAAGACTCCAGGGGTTAAGTCTGGATGATTTATGGATCTTCCTCTCACGAGTTCTTCAAGATCTCTCCGCATCTCTGAGATGGGGCTTGTTGCATTAGACGAAATAGTAACACGATAAGCACCGCCATGAAGTGGCTTCAAACGCCATTGATTACATCCTACAAAAATACAAGAAAACGTTAATGCATATCAAACCTACGCTTATGCATCCTTTGAATGACCTTTATCCTACACTAAAAAGAAACTGTACCCTCCAAAGTAAACCTCGTAAGTCATAATTATTCATAATTATTGTCGGAATCAGAAGTAGTCAGATACAGAAAGGTTATTTGTTGGTTGCAGTTGATAGAAGGTAACAAAATCTAAATAAAGGGTAAACGGCTCAAATGTGGTTTTGGAATTTTACCTCTTTGTCTCTCGAAGCTTGCTAATCTTTCATTCAATTGCCTTTTGACTATGTTGTAGATAGAAGCGGAGCAGATTATGGAGCTCTGAAACAATTGCTCGCACTCTATCTTCTGCCACGGAAGGCATCCAGGTAGCACCTCTCCATTTAACTCCTGCAAAGCTTTCGCAGCTTCCAAATGTAATCTCCTGTCAAATGTAATCATCGCTCGCATGAAATAATCTGTATCTTTTGGTTCAAAAACTCTGACTTGGACACAGTGCGGCTCTGGATTCCTCGATGACATGCACGCGAATATTCTCTTATGCAGCACTTCTTCGCAATCAACAGGAGATGGACACTGCACACTGTTTCTTCTGAATAAGAAAAAATTCAGATCTCTTCTCATCGTAACGTACTCCAAAACATCTAAAACCTCTACTTCCGAAAGATCTCTGCCAAGCCCATTTATCAAGATAGAATCATTCGACTTTTGATCTCTCTGAATGCTGACAAATGTTGTTCCTATCACAAGGTTGGAGATCCCTTCAAATATATTGTGAATATCACCAGAAGTGCACTTAACACAACCTCTACCAATGCTTTCCTTGCGCGGCCAACGAATCATGGCTGTAACAGAAGAGAAAGAAGGCATCTTAAAGTTTCCTCCACCAGTTGGCAGCGACGGAAATAATCTAAGCACTGACCCATTGAAATCAAATTTCTGAATTTCTGTTGCCACCATAGCAGATTCGGGAGTGAGAAAGGTTATTCTACCCCACTTTTCCTTCTCATCACAATCTTGCTTGTTAGCAGCAAACTTATGAATAGCGCAAATACACCCATCAATCTTCTTCTCCAAAAACGTCAAGAGCTCTCTGTCATCAACAAAACTGTCACCATAATAAAGTACATCGACGGTCAGAAATCTCTGATCAACTTCAAGATGCTTAATCTGAGCACCAGATCCAAACAGTGCAATCGGAATTTGTCCTCGACCATGAAATAGATACTTCTCCAAACATTCGTTACGCATCCATTTCTTTTCACATTCCAATGCATCGTTCACAAGGGCCATCACTTTGTCCATGTCGAGGGGAGGCGCATACAGTAGAATCTCATTCTGATTGACATCGACTTGAATACCAATCCTCTCATCCTTACAAAGAGACCTAGCACAAGAAGCAATTGAAAGTAGACTACGGTTAGATTTCCCACAGAATCGTTTAAGCAAAGTGCTGCTACAACCAACCACTTTTTCCACTCGGAGCCTCCGCTCATCCATCTGAGTTGCATCAAAAGGTGGAGGTGGATCAAGCATATACAAAGCCTCAAAATCAAACGCTGTTACACATACCAAGTACTGGTCCACAATTGATAGAAGTTCACCGAAAACAACCCAGCTTGGCTTCTGGCCAAATGCTAGCAATGAACACGACGGATGCAGCTGAACTTGTTGACCAGTCAATGCCACCTCGTATCCAAGCTGATCATAGCCAGTGTACATCGCCACGTTTTCTGAAAGAGATGCAAGTATAACCATTTTCAAATGCTTGTCGTGTTTAGTTCTCTCATTTGGATTCCAAACCCAGTAACTAGGACTGATAAGAGTAAGTTCTCTCTCAATGCATGTCTCCAATTCTTTGACTGTGTCTTCACATCTCCTCATTGATTTGGCATTCAGGCTATTTTCCCAGCACCATTTATTTCTTCTCTCTAGCGGCAGAGATGCCCATTCTTTGTATACCGAAAGCAGAGTGAACAGGTCTCCATTGTGATTGCAGAATTGCACCTTGAAGATGACAAAGTAAAAAACTTCAGAACATATCTTCTTAAGAGGTTGTAGAAGATCTAAAACTAACACTCAAGCCTTTTAGAAAAATAGAGATTATCTGAACTCATTTAGGCGTATTACCGGAAATCAAATGTTACATAACAGGTAATAGTAATAACTCTATAGAAGAAATATCACAATAACACAATTAACCGGAAACTCAGAATCATACCTTTAGACGATCAGCTTTCATCTTATCATCGAGGTTGCCAACTCTGCAAAATATACTACTGGCATTAGCCATGACAGCAGCAAGAACAATCCCCTCTTTGCCCATTCTGTGTCTGAAGCAGCCTAAAATTAACTTTCCAAGCTTTGGCTCCAGACCCAGCTTGACTAAACAATGCCCTTCCTCTGTTAATTTCAGAACACCATTCTTCTCAACGACTGCACCCAACTGAACAAGATTTTGGACAGCCATTGCAATGGCTACGGGGACAGGCGCATCAACAAAGTCAAAATCCGCTATGCTGTCTACACCCAGAGCAAGGATCCTCAACAGTGCTACACCAAGATGGACCCTCCTAATTTCAGGTTCTTGATTAAGATTCATTGAATCAAAATCGTGTTTTGAATACAGTCTGTAACACCTTCCGGGTTCTGTCCTTCCAGCACGACCAGCACGTTGTTGAGCAGAACTCTGACTTATTTGGCAAACCTTGAGGATACTCATGCCCGTTTTAGGTTCATATTTACTCTCTTTCATCATTCCGGAATCAATTACATATTTTACACCAGGAATAGTCAGAGAGGTCTCAGCAATATTTGTGGCAAATATCACTTTTCGTCTCGCAGGATAGTTCTGGAAAACCCTAAATTGTTCTTCGAAGGAAAGCTTTCCATGCAAAGGCAAAGCCACTGCGGACGGAGCTATAAACCTTTCGCATGCCCATTCTACCTCTGCTTGGGAAGTCAAGAATGCAAGGATGATTCCTTCATTCTCTGTTTTATGTACTTCCACTGCCTTCTTAACAACATTATCGACATACGGTGCAATGCCGCCAACAACACAAGCCCCATCTGCATCACTAGGGGAATATACAATTTCCACAGGAAAGTTCCTCCCACTGACACAAAGAATTCCACAGCCGAAGAAATAGTCTGAGAGTTGGTAGGCATCAGCCGTGGCAGACATGATGACAAGCCTAAGGTCAACCCTTCTGCATAGCAAATCTTTGAGCAATGCCAGTAGAAGGTCTGTGTTTAAGCTTCTTTCATGGGCTTCGTCAATAATAACACATGAAATGCCAGACAAACTCCTATCTTTTATGTAGTGTTGAAGCAGACAATTATCCGTCATGTATACAACCTTGGAACTAATCTGCTCGGTAGAAGAGAAAGCTGGAGTGCAGCGGACAGAATTTTCCTCACAACAACTACGGCTTTCTTCTCTGACCCGATCAGCCAATGTCATGGCAGCAATTTTCCGTGGTTGTGTACATACAATTGACTCACTAGCAGCAACTCCGGAATCAGCAAGAAACTGAACCAACTGAGTGCTTTTCCCTGAACCGGTTTCTCCAATCAATACCATTATCTGTGAACACAGTTATAATGAATTATTACACGCTCAAAATGTCCAAAACACAGATTCATTAATAAACACACAGAAAACTGAACCTTAGCAGACAACTACTACGACAAGAATACAGCATAAAGCGATCACTGAGAATGATTTTATATGTTCAAGAGTCAATAGCGCACAATTCACAAATCTGTATACTCTTCAAGCTGATTCAGTAAATTTATCAAGCTGCCAGAAATAGTTAGCAATTCATACAAATTTCACCAAACATCACTTCTCAAATTTTGGGATTTTCGAAGATACCTGTTCGCCATGAATTCTCTTCAAAATATTCCGCCTGTAGGCATAGATAGGAAGTCCATCCTCTAGCCTTCGACACTCCCTGCGGATCAAACTATGAATACGTCGCCAATCAAAGGGCCTTTCCAAATCAAACACCGCCACATCTTCTTCTCCTCCATCTCCATCAGACTCAGACCCGTTTTTTCCTTTGAGAAATCGAACAATGCTCTTCATAGCGTTCTTGAATTCTTCAAGCCGCTTTACAACCAAATCTTTCTCCGCCTCAAGAACCTTCTTTCTCTCAAAAACCTCAAGCTTGAGTCCCCTTTTGGACGATAAAGACTCAATTTTACGAACTTTCTCATCAATCTCCGTTTCTACCTTCTTGACACTTCCTCCGTCTTCCATTAACCAAAGAACGTGACCCGAGAAAAGATCACAAAGCCTGTCTCTAAGCTCGTCCATATCGGAAGGGACGATAACATTAGGAATTAGCTCAGGAACAAAACCATGGCTTCCTTGCAGGCGATAATCCCAGAGAGCCACAACGGCGGAGAGCGCATCGACCCACTGCTGAAAACTGAAACTTCCGGCGATACAACCAAATTGAGGCACATGAACTGATTCCTCCGGAATTTCACATAGCGAAGCGAGTCTTCTGATCTCTTCATTCCTAACCAAATACGACGGCTTCACGTCGCTGTTCACAAGCTGAACGATGAAATTCGGCCTAATACGCGTACCTGGAGAAGAAATTCCCGGCGCCGGAGCCCGATCGCGCCTGTAATTTGGCGGGAAAGTGGGGTTAGGGTACTGGTAGTGTTGCTTGTGAGTATGTCGGTGGTTGAGCGGCGGAGAAGAAGACAGTAAAGGGCGAAAGTTACAGCGGTTGTTGGAAGCAGAGGGATACGAAAGGTGACGATCAGTCGCCGATCTTCCAACGTCGGAAGGAGGAAAAGAGCTCCTCATGGGATGATGATGATGCCAGTTTTTTGTGTTTCTTTAACAATTGAGAGAGCGAAAGGAGACAGAAGTTGAAAAGGATTCAGAAGGCACTGGAAGACAATATTTATATATTTTATATGTTTACTTTTATTCTACTCTTTCTATAAACCCTAAATCCTTTTTGTTTCTGATTTTTTTTTCCAATTAAATTTTGGAAAGATTTTAGTAAACATGAAACCGATGATTTAATACATGGAAATCGTTGAAAAAAAACAAGAAAAAGACGGATTGTTTATCCTGTTCAGTTCGATTAATTAATTTTTCATTTGTAAGTCATTTTTTTCTAAGTTGGATAAGTAGTCGTGTCAATTTAAATCATGACAGTTGTTAAAAAAATTCTGTAATTATTTATTTTATTTTTAGTAAAAGAACATAAAGTAGATACTAATTTGAAAAAAATATTTATAATAAAATAAATAGATTAAAAACTAATAGAAAAGGAAAAAAGTTTTATATAGAAAAAAGTACTAAAAGTTATTTTATTTCGAATATTCAGTCCATTCTACCGTTTACCAAAATCATTAATCAATTCATCCTTCAATAGTTTTCTCAATTTTTGATTTATATATATATCTAATTTTTTTATGGATATTTTGTAATAAATTTAACTTTGTTGGGTAAAACTCCTTTTCTTTTTTTCTCCACAAAAGGTAAAATAAACTCCAATGTTAACAAATCAAAGAACAAATAAAGACATTATAATTTATGATTTTTCTTTTCAATATTATGTTTGCGATTATTTTTTTCCAAATATGAGTTTTCTTTCATTTGGTATATGTTAAATTTGATGAATTGTTTTTAATCAATTTTGTTATCTTCTATTAACGGATTAAAAACAAATTTTTAACCATTTAACTTGGTATGTATTTATGGAACCTATAATGTATAATCTCAAGGTAATGGATAATCTTCTATATATTAGTTGAGACGACACTAAAGAAAAAAAATCTTATTTGTCAATCAATGAGCAATTCAAGGGACATATCATCTAATTTGACCAATCAAAACATTTCAATTATAAGTATATGCCATGGTGGAAATTCTCTATATATTCTCATTAATTTTTAGCATAAACTCATTAATACATGTTTTAAAATTTTAAACTCAGCTAAATATGTGATTGATCATACAATTATTTTCTTTTATATAATTTAGTTGTATCACTACTCTAATTAAAATTGCGCTTTTGTTATAAACGTACAACTTTATAATTCAAAGATTAATGATTGAA